GAAGGATGGGCTGCCCTTTTTATAGAAAACGAAATGTACGAGTTGCCAGTGCGGGTTTAAAATATAACGGAAATCATTCTCCTGTATTTTTTGGTTTCACAACTATGATTTATGGTCGCGTTCTTATTATCACGAATAGTATATTTATTATTGTTATTGTCGTTATTAACATCATCACCATCATAATTGTTATTATCATTACCGTTATTACTTATAATAATATCACTACTACTACTGCTACTATGGCTACTACTACTACTGCTACTACTAGTACCTTTGTCATTACAATTATTGTTTTGTTGTTATTGTTCTTGTTGTTAATATAATTATCATAAGCATAATCATTATCATTAGTATCATTAAGTTCATCATTACTATTATTATTGTTATCAATATCATCAGCATTATCTTTATTACTATCATTACCATCATTATTATCATTATCATTAATATTATTATCATTATTATTAACATTATTTTTATTATTATCATTAGTACTTCATCATCATTATCATTTTTTGTTTATTGTAGCAGCAGTTTTAGTTCTTTTGCTATTATTATTATCACTATTTTCATAATAATCATGCTGATCGTCTTTATTATCATCATAATAGCAGTGATGATGATGATATCAAGAATAACAATAATAATGATAACAATTATCATTATCATTATTGTTGTTATAATCATCATTATCACCATTATTGTTATCATCACCATTACCATTACGATTACTGTGATTACGATTGTTATTAATCCTATTAATGGTAATAATAATGTTTATATTGTTATTGTTATCACTATCATTATTATTATCATTATGATTATCATCATCATTATCAATATCATTATCATCATTATAATTATCATTATTATCAGTATTATTTTAATCATTATTGTTATTATCGTTTTCATTACTTTTTATCATTATTGTTATTATCGTTTTCATTATTTTTTATCATTATTGTTATTATTGTTTTCTTTCTTTTTTTTTTTGCCATTTTATTTGCAATATCATCATCAAAGGTAGCACACCCCCTCCCCCTCCTCCCCATCTAAGCGGGGAAATCCCTGTTCTCAGACAAGGAAACATCAGCAGCATCACCGATTTCTCCACGAAATTTAAAACAACGAAAACTGAAACAATAAGCATCACTCGCCTCCCATAAACACCAGCTTATAAGGGAAACAAAGATTTTATAGGTGGAGCGAGGTAAGGCGGAGGTCAGGCTAGGTCGACGAACTGCCGATTTTGTTATCTGACTGGCATTTTTTTTTTTTTTTTCCTGGATTGAAAACGGGTGTGTAGAGGTGTAGAGGTCACACCGACGCTCACGAACACACACACGTACACACGATAAATTTTGTGAATGAAGATTGTTTTTGTTTTCTATATCTAAAACAAATCAATGGCTGATGGTCTGTGTTGAGTAATAATAGACACACCAGTCTCGGATAAGAAACACACGCACACACACGCACACACACACACACACACACACACACAGAGAGAGAGAGAGAGAGAGAGAGAGAGAGAGAGAGAGAGAGAGAGAGAGAGAGAGAGAGAGAGAGAGAGAGAGAGAGAGAGAGAGAGAGAGACAGAGAGACAGAGAGAGACAGAGAGAGTGAAAGAGAGAGAGGGAGGGAGATAGAGAGAGATGAGAAAAAAGTGCAGTCAGGTATCATAATACTATTAACTATACGTATAACAGTAACTCACTCAGCCTGCCTCTTCACGTTCAGTAATTTCTTGCTCAGAGAAGAGACTATACATAAGTCTACCGCAAGACAGGCAAAGCAGATAGAACACTAGCATTAGCAATTTTATTAGCAAAAGGTCCAGTCCAATTCCAAAATCTAATCATGGTCCTTACGATTCGAAAGCTTTTTTTCTCTCTTTTTTTTTTTTTTTTTTTTTTTTTTTTAGGCCTCCTCTTCTCTCTCATATCGAAAGCTTTTTTTCTCTCTTCTTTTTTTCTTTTGTATAATCGTATTAAAAGGGAGGGAAATTGAAACCCGAAGTTCCCAAGAGTTGGCTAGTGTGTCACCTCTTCTCCCTCGTCCACACATTCCTCGGCAAGCAGTTCCTGTTTTTTCTTCCGCTTTAAGACAAATATTTCACTGCATAAAATTCCTAATGCCGCAGACTCATTTCAGGAATTTATTGTCCGTTCTGTATCAAGGACATTGAAAAAAAAGAAAGATAAGAAAAAAGACGACAAAAGTAACCTTGGTCTGACACATAGCTTCTCGTTTCCACGGAGGCAACGGACTTCTAAACAGTTTGGATAAGATGGCATATATATTATGGTTAGCAAATCCCTAAGGAATTTTTGTGCCATCTGAATGCCCCTTTGCCTTCTTTTTACTATACTTTCTGCCAAATACAACGTGTATACCTCTAACCCTTGTATTTTGCCTTTTACTACATGTTTAATTTCCATAATTTCACTGAATACCAACTATTACACGACATTATCTTACCAAACGCTGTAAAAAAAAGAAAGAAAAGAAAAAGTATAAACCCGAATCGACTTGAATTTTAGTTACAATTCTCCACGTGTAAAGTCGAATCATTAAGTCCTTCTTCCGAGAAAACGCCCAAGAACCCCAAAGAAGGTCAACGAGAAGAGCGCCGGCTTCTGAAACAGGTTCTTCCGATTCTGAGCCTTAGTAACGAAGGATAATACAGTTCATTTCCCTTCATCATCATGGTTGCATTTTGTGTTACTGTGTTTGTTTTTTAGTTTATGTAAATTTAATGAATAATTTAGCTGTTTAATGCTTTGTGATTACTCATCCGATTCTTGTTTTAGTTGTCGTCATGGAAAAACAAATCGTAATTAGACTTAAAAAAAACTATTTAATTGTATTAGTAGACAATTTACGAACTACTGAAAAATATAAAACAAATGGATGAAATGTTCCAGATGATCGGGAGAAAATAGATAAATAAATAAATTAATTAAATAATCTGATTGATATACGACATGAAGAAAACCGAATTATGATGACAGTCTGCATGACGACCGTTATCGGAATCGCCTCGTCACTCAATTTCAAGCTGTTACGACGGCGAAAGGAGCCGAGAAAGCACCATATGTAGATATACACATGTATACATACATATATATATGCACAACATAACAAACATACATTCATACATATATGTGCACGTGCCAATGTACATATGTGTATCTATGCGCACACACGCACACAAACGCACACACACGCACACACACACACACACACACATACACTCATCCGCACGCATCGCAATTTCCTCCTGAACCAGACGCGGTCACGTGGACTCGCGCGAGGTCAGTGAGGACGAAGGCACCAGAGCCGGTTTTCCTTATTTTTAAACAAGAAAATTTTTCCTAGAGTCAGTGATGTAAGACGAGGCACACGTGTATTTCTTTCTTCATTTACATAACAAAGGAGGTAGTCATGATGATAATGATGATGAGAACAATAACAAGAATATCAATAGTGATAATAACAATGATAATGATGACAATTGTATTGCTAATGTTAATAATATTCATATTAATATTGAATGCAGTAATGATAATAATAATAATGATAATAATCATATTAATCATAATAATCATATCAATAACCATAGCAGTAATAATAATAATAATAAGGATAACATTGAAAGTAATTTGTAAAACTAATAATCCTGAAGTAAACGTCAAAGTAATAAAACAAAAACCCTCCGATATGACCAGCCCCTTGCCTATGATCACGTGACCAAGCTGCCGCCGCGCACCTTATGATTTCCTTCTGAAGGAGTGATGACGTCAGCGGCCAGGTTGCATAAGGATGGCTCTTCCGCTTGTCTGAAGGTCTGATCGACTGTAATGAGCGAATGGTGGTGTATTTTTTGCGCACAACGATATACATGGTAGAAGACACCAACACGCACATACACATACACTCACACACACACACCATCACGCACATACACATACACTCACACACACACACCATCACGCACATACACATACACTCACACACACACACCATCACGCACATACACATACACTCACACACACACACAAACATACACACACATACATGCGCACAGACATGCGCACGCATAAACACACAGTACGTTATCGCAAACATACATATATTTACACACATACAATGCACGTCCTTACACATTCTTACACTAATACACACACAAATTCAAACAGTACCTACAACAGCTCTGACTTATAAAGGAAGATACGTGTATATTCACTACTACATTTCACTACATTTGTATAGGCCTCACTTGTCTGTTTACATGAGGGGTATCGTGGTTGCATTCATTCACGTGCTCCCATGCCACTCATGCAGTAGTGTGGTAATACTGTTGCCTTTAACTTTAACCTCACATTTGTGAACACACCACAAACATAAACATACACACACACACACACACACACACACACAAACACAAACACACACACATACACACATATGCACATATATAAATACATGCATACACACACACACACACACACACACACATTTGCACATATATAAATACATGCATACACACACACACACACACACACACACACACACACACACACACACACACACACACATATATATATATATATATATATATATATATATATATATATGTGTGTGTGTGTGTGTGTGTGTGTGTGTGTGTGTGTGTGTGTGTGTGTGTGTGTGTGTGTATGTATATATATATATATATATATATATATATATATATATATATATATATATCTGTGTATACACATACACCTATACATATATACATACATGTGTGTGTGCGTGTGTGTCCATATGTATCTAATTCTTCTCAAGAAAGGACAAAAATTGTTTACCCTTTAGAAATTGTCAACCCGTAAAGATTTCAACAGATCGAGTACGAACAATTAAGCACTCTTGTAACACTTCAAAGAAAAGAAGCAGTGTGTGTGTAAGGCATACAGTATATGCTGGTTTAGCAAGCAAAATCAGGAATCAAT